TCAGATCAACTGTCAACTGTAGAATTCCATGGTTGTTAAGGGTTTTTGAATTGTTGTTATGGTTATTTGAATTAAATTGAGTACTCCACCTTCGCTATGCCAACACTACTTGGAATGGATATTTCCCTTGACTTGAATAACATTACTCTTCTGGGCCACGTATGGATTGAAAACATTTCATGGCGATTGGAGCATAAAGGCTCCACATAGTCGCTGGACAGAAACAGAGTCCACAAGCAAAAATGTAATATTCTAAAAAATATAACATCACTTCTGCTTTGGAAAAATTCTTTGAAGTGGAAGCATTCCATCTGTTCTATATGCAAGTTTGCGGACTTTGAATCCCCCAGGCCCCAGGGATCCTCGATTTAAATCTTATATTGTAAAAATAGTCATTAAACATTAAAGGCTCAAGCCTCTCAAAGATGGGTGTGTGCATTTAACAAAAGGGGAGAGACAATAGAAGAATTTATTTCCAGTAGACTTTTCAACAGCTATAACTTGCTCGCCTTGATACGTCCCATCTCTTTTGCCTTGGCCCTGAGGAGATGCTTATGAATCTTCCCTGTCGCTGTTTTTGGCAGGGGTCCAAACACGAGATTTTGAAACACAGTAAGCAGGCATCTGCGCAAGGTGACTCGCCCCAGCTCTCATCTGGCCGAGCCACCACCGATACAATACATTTTCCACCTCCAAGCTTCATATGTTCTCACCTCCATAGATGATGATGTCTTTTGATCTGTCCTTAATTTCTACATATCCATCGGGGTTCTTTGCTCCAAGATCCCCGGAATGAAACCATCCATCCGCAAAAGCTTCCTTGGTGGCTTCTGGTTCTTTAAGAAGCCCTTCATCACTAAATTGCCTCTCATCACAATTTCTCCCATTGTTTTTCCATCTGCGGGGACGGGTTTCATGATCTTTTTCTGACATGGCAAAGGGTGCAGAAGAGGGAGGGGGAGGGGAAGCGCCAACTGTCATTACATGCACCAAACGGGGCAGAGGAAGGGTGGTCTCCTCCTTGGAAGCATTGATTATGGTGTAAGTATCACAGGTGCAGCACGGAAGCGACTGACACCAGCATTTGCTATGGCTGAAAAGACTGCCTTCGCTGTTACCTGTAGAAAACAAGCGATCATTTTGTATTATCCATAATGATTGTTCAGTGCAGATTGCACAAGAATTCTGCAAATAAGTCAATCTACAACGGCACTAATCAGTATAAAATACTGCACGAGGAATTTGTAAAATAAGTCTAATCTACGAAGGCACTGTTCAGGGCAGAATACTGCAGGAGAATCCTGTAAACAAGTCTAATTTACAAAGGTACACTGGAAAAATCAGGACCTCATATTATCCAAGACCTGCAAGCTGACTTCTTTTCCAAATATAGCTCTCAACTCCCTGTTAAATTATTGCCGAATTTTAACTAGAGAACCGGACCTAAACAGAACCGACAAAACCAACACTTTGGGTTTATCTATGTATAAACACTTGACTACACACAATAGGCCATCCAAGTAAATGAAATTAGCTATTTTTAAGTCAAGATCAGCACGCATGTGCAAGTGGTTGTACAACAACCTCAGAAAATCTCCCTTCATGTACTCAAGCAAAGAAAAACAGGATTACTGAGTGCACAAAATTTCCTGTCAAGGACATATACTTGTCCTGCAAATGGCAGCAAGTGTCCAAGTAAAACACCAACCATTGCAATGGAACTTCGGTAGAGTCCACAGATATACAGCCCATTCATTCGTCCTCCAAATAATAGGATTACTCAAGGACATGGGATATGCTCCAAGGTGGTTCAGTAACACTCCTTTGGGGCTGGCTGTTAAGTATAACCCAAAGCAATGCTCTGCCACTCGTCCTCTGGGGTCACCAATTTCGTGGAAATTCTCATATTCTATGGCTCCTCTGCCTAAAGCAAACGTTAGAGACTTTGGATCACAGCTTTTATCATCTATGACAGCCAATAGTGGAGGTTTAAAATTATTTACATGTCCTGCCCAGATTTTTAATGCTTCCTCGACCAGAGTAAAAAACTCTTGGTCCCCCATTACAACTTCAGATTTTGAATGACCCAGAAGGAAAACAACAGTTTCAGCATTTAAACGTATATTAACGCATTTTACAACAGCTCCTGCCATCGGAACTCCAAAATATGTTTCGTATAATGCAGGGGCATTAGGTGCAATTACAGCCACCTGCCAGGTTAGACCATGAAGATACTATTCAGCTGCCAACAAGCTCGAAGACAACATAAAATTAAATCCAGCAAAGGATGAAAATTAAATAGTATCAGATACTCTCTGTTATTTACAGATCCAGCGCATAGCATACATAAACAAACACCATCAGCACGATAATGATTTTCAAATTTCAAGCATGCAAGACACATTACGCACAGGCACGACATAAACAACGAGCTATAGAAGTACTCATTATTATAATACATTTCAGAGAAAATAAAAGAAAGTTTTTCTGTGAAAAGTAGTATGATAATCAGAATTCAAAGTTCAATCCTTGTGCAGAAAGTGACTGCATTCAATGGAAAATCGCTCCTACAGAGAAGTTCATTTATAGAAAGCATGGGGGAATCATCAAGGGATAAAAATTACAGAGTTGAATGGTTTAAGTTGGTATGGTGTCCTCCACACGTTCCAAGGCATAGCTTTATTGCCTGGTAATCTGTACTGAACAGGTTGTCACACGGTTCAGACAGGGGGAAGGGTATAAACAGGTTTTACTTTGAATGCTCATGTGAAACGAAGAAAAATAAAATCAAGCAGGGCAACAAAGGATGAGATTACGTAATCTTAGCAGAAAACGCAAGAGGACAACAGGGGCAAATGCAGGACTCACACGGTTGTGAAAAAATTAAGGCCTGTTAAAATCACTGAAAACATGATTAAATGGAAAAGGCTCAACATTTGAGAACCAGCAACGTTTTCACATCAAATCTCTACCAACAACCTGACAAGGGACACTGTCTTCATGTAATTACCAACTGCCAAAATGCAGTATCATGGAATCATGATATCCGTTTATCCGCACTGAAGACGATCGAGTGAACATTTCCAGCACCAAAAGGGCAAAACTAGAGAAAACTCGTTTCTTTTTTACTTTACACGGCCCAGACTTGATTTGTTGACTTTCTTCTCGAGTGTAATTAAGCTGGTATTTCCTTAGCTTTGCTTTCTAGTGATGTCTTAAGCAAGTCCATAGCAGCTCTCCACATGTTTTGCCAACATGACAAATAGCAAACTCATCAAACACGTTTTCAAGTTCAATTTACCACACAACCCTCATTTTCTAATCTTTATCAGCCACGACATTTGCCACTCAAATATCAAAAACTATTGACAATTACTAGTTTACAGGTAGAGCCATGTTGCGGAGGGAATTAAAAAAAATTACTTCAAAAAAATATTTAGATTATGAGGAATATTTTTATATTAATATTAAATTTATTTTAATGAGTCGGCATAATCAGCCTAGAAATCTCTTAACCTGATTTTATTATCAGGTTCATGTTTCAAATTAATTATATAAAAATTATTGAAAGATGAAATCACAAAATACTAAATAAAATTCTTAATCATACAAAAAATTAACAATGAAAAAAATAATGACTAAATTTAAGAGATGAGAAATTTAAAGAGAATAAAATTTAAAGTTTTTTTCAATTTAAAGTGATTTTTTAAACAAAACAATTACAATTCAAATAATAAAGATTAAATATGATGAGAAAAGAAATTAAAAATTTACAATATTTTTTTCAAGACAACATGCAAATTGAGATAGAAGAAAGAGCAATGAAGGGAAAAGGATAAAATCAAACTAATACAAACTCAAACAAAATCATCATGCATATATTGTCCAGGTAGAAAAGAAACATCAAGACATATCAAATCACACTATAAAATAAATCTTTTTATTATTAGAGTCAATTACACATGTTATCTAAAAATAAAAAAATTAGATAATACTTGTTATGCACCTATCATTATTTTTTTTATGTATCAAAATATAAAATTACTCCAGTGACTAATTAGTTATTGTGAAAAAACCATTATTAAATAACAAATCAACTCTTACAAACATGCTTAGGGAATTTTTTAATGTTAGGGTGATATATTATATTGTATTTTAAAAAAGTGAAAAAACAAGAGTTTCAAGGGTATTAAAGTAAACCTACTGTGCAAAAAAATAAGAAAGGAAAAAGATGCCCCTTAGCAATTCTAAAATAACAAATTAACCATGTAAAAATACAAATATACCCTTATATGTCAATTCAATTGTTTTTTTAAAGAGCAAAAATGTAAATCCACCATTAATGCCCATTACACGGTACTTTGGCTACAAAGTTTAAGTTATTTTAATATTTTTCAAAATATATATTGAAATAATTATTTAAATATTTAACCTTTAATAATTTTGATGGGTTAATATTAAAAACAGTTTAAAAAAACTTTGTTTTTCCAATCTAAAATCACCTGTATCCTATTACCAATCACATGCTTAAAATCAATTTCCAACAGTACTGCTCTCCATCCTAGATGCCAGGCCGAGTCCAATTCTTTCTCGACGGTCCAAAGCTCTGCTGCAATGGCATCAGTCCATGCGGGGACACACCCAACGACTACGAGTCCATCTATTTTTTCTTTAAGAAAAATTGAAAAATTTAAATTTTATTATTATTTTAATGTGTTGATATTAAAAATTAATTTTAAAAAATTAAAAATTATGATTAATTTAAAGAGTAGAATCGCTCTATATTCTCTCCAGTGAAATAAATTGGCACTAATTAGAATAAGGAAGAAAAGCATAATAATGATGGAAAACCTATTGATAATCAAGTTCGGGTTCTCTTGCGTACTTAAAAAACCTACAGAAAATCCAAATCAAGGACAGCGCTAAAACACATCAAAATATTGAGAATATCAACCCAATTACCTACCATAAAAAAATAATAATCCAAGAGCCATAGCCCATTGATAACCAAGACCACAGTAGATGAATGCAATTCAAAAACATAATACAGGTGATGAATCCCAAAAAAATACACAGAAGTGACCCAATATACACTCTCTACATAATTTGTCCATGGTATTATAGAGTTTCACATAAAAATCAAAAGTTGAATAAATTCTTTCTTCCTCTCAGTATTTGCTTACACCCTCGGAACCACATCTGCTTGTTCCTTATTAAAGTCTTCCCTTCATATGTAGAAGAACAGTTCGAGAATGGACAGGATACTTCAACGAAGTTCAAGAAGATGATGCAGAGGCAGAGGCTTGGTTGAAAGGAAGCTGCTCAGCACAGCTAAGCACTTCATGAGACCCGGCTTCCTCTCTGCCAACACCCATTAGATCGAGATAATATAGGTAATGAGAGACAATGTTGTTCATTGACTCATCATCGCCTTTGCCGCAAACTTGATCCCCATACAGGACATTCATGGTGGTGCCAAATCCAGGTACCCTCTTGGCCAAAGTGTCATTCTTGGTAGGTTTCCATTTGCCAACAAATACATCGTGCGCTGAAGGGAGATGCTTCTTTTCTGGTGTCATCCACTTCCAAATAGCAGCCTGGAAAGCTAGTGTAGCATTGTTTTCGATGTACTCTGGATGGTTCAACAAATCAATCTTCAGGGCTTCCCCAGTTTTTCCATAGTTGTAGTTCCTGTAAATGGAAGCACCAGATACAAAAATAAACGAATGCTTGAGATTGTGAGAAGACCAGGTTAATTAAACACTGTCATGGTAGGCATACGCCATCCAAAATCTGAAGATTACATGTTGTACACTCAAAGATTGATTGTACAAACTTTCTGCTTCAAGGTAGCTAGGTAGGTAGGTGGGACCTACTATTCTTAGGAAATACTACTTACCAGAGAATTTACTTTAAATATACTACAAGAAAATATAGTCTTTTAATGTTTTCTTGGAAGTGATATCGGACGTGGAGGATGGTTAATGGAGAATAAGTTTTGGAATTTCCGAATATTGCTTTGATGCCTTCTTACTGTTTGTATTTATCAGTTAAGTGAATTCGAGGAGGGAAAAATAGAAATTGGTGTGGCATGGGGAGATGGATAGATCATCAAAGATGAGAAGATGTATACCAGTAAAGAGGTAGGGCACCCCTGCCGTGATAGGAAACCCCCGGAGTGCAAGGATAGGTGTACTTGTAGTAATCATCGCAGTATGTCTTGCTGGGACTCATTTCCTTGTTGTAGCACAAACCCCATGCCAATGGTCCTCCAGTGGCCACTCCATAACCACCTGAATAATCATCACCGATAATAGCCTTGTTCATGTATAATTAAATTTTATATATAATGAGAGAAGAAGCATCATCGATCAAAACTATACATATGAATATATATTATCATAATAGATCAACACCAATTTCAAAGGTGAACATATATAGTATTGATTTTTCTCTTACTCACATGAGGTTTTGCTTCCAACATGCCCAAGGAAAGCAGCAACTTCCTTCTGCCCCGTAAGTTTCCCTCCAGTGGTACCAAATCCATGAGGCTGGTATTCTGCAGTTGCAGTAATAAAAGAATGGTAATCCCAAAATCCCGAAGCATGAGCCACAGGAGTGTTGCGTTTTGAAAACAAGTTTTCGAACTGGTAGGTCTGGAAAAAATCAGAAATGGTTTGGTTGCAGCAATAAGCAGACAAGCCTTTGCATTCCCATCCCTTGTCGCACAACTTCTTTCCCTTCACTATCTTCACTACTGTCTTCACTTGAGATGATTCATCTCCATTTACTACTACCACTAACAACGCCATTGTCACAAGAAAACACCATTTGGCCTCCATCTTGGCTATGCCTGTACGTACGTGTCGAAGAGCTTGTGTGAGCTTTGTTGGAATTGGAGTGTAAGGAATTTCCTGGTGGTTTCTGTAAAGAATTGGAGTGTGTATTTAAAGAGTGGGTATGAGATTGCTTTGTTGGGATGAAAGGAATGGAAAATGAGTGTCTAACTTATTAGGAGAGAGAGGTTTTTCAGAGTTTTGGTGAGTTTTGCTTGCATTCTATTCTTCTTCCATTGCAAGCAAAGATTTTCTTGATATGCTGGGATGTTGAACGTTGTGGGACTCGTAGCTGGGGCTGGGCTGATAATAGCGATCTAAGCTCATTTTTTTGTTTTCGTTGAGGCTCAGATGGGTTTTATTGCACCTGCAAATTTCACCCCCGGATTCGACTTGAGGCTGCAACAGAATACAGATTGTGGGCCTCCAAATTGAAATAAGTAGAAAGCCCATGATACTCTATACTGCTCAGTGATTCATAATAACAATGTGAAGCTTGTAAATAAACTCTTTTCTATCTTTTTATAACTTCTATAAGTTCTTAGCCATTAAATTAATGTCTCGTAACGATTCATAAGTTTCTTTCTTTGTTTTTGTGCTCGTTTTATTCCTCGTGCCAGGAATAAATTAATTAATTCTCATGGATTTTCTAATTTTGATGTGAACAGCCTATCAATTAACGGCACTACAAAAAATAAACTTAATAATTATGCAAGAATTAGGCTAGGAGTATTATGAAACTACTAAAAATCCTGATAAAAGTGCCACTGTTAAAATATAACAAGCACTTTCAATCGGGCATGAGAAAATAAAATAAAATTTTATTTATAAATGAATAAATAATAATTAAAATTGTAAATGTTAAAAATAAGTTTGTGTTTTAATTAAAATTGTAAATGTTAAAAATAAGCTTGTGTTTTTTGTGTTTCAAAAATATTTTTGAAAATATTTTTTAAAAAATTATTTTTTTTGTTTTAAATTAATATATTTTTAAATTATTTTAATATGGTAATATCAAAAATAATTTTTTAAAAATAAAAAAAAATATTTTAATATATTTTAATAAAAAAATTATTTAAAAAATAACTGACCGGTAACCAAAAATTAACAGAAATATAGATGTACGGACCTTGACTGCTGTTTTTAATCAGAGAGTTAGGAAAACATCATTTGCTGATGAAAGAACATATTGACAGCAGGTTCTTACTGATTGGGTGTTTGATCTTTGACGAATTAAATTCACGAGCTATCGGTTAATTAACAGCCCTTGTCGAACTCCAACAGCCTTGCCTGCACAATTGACAGGTCCTTGCCACTATAAATTTTTCATTGAACGGATGAAATCTTCAAATGTTTTAAATAAATAAATGATCGACTTTTATTGCTCGGTCACAGAACACTGTTTTTCATGTTACAAAATTATACCACTAAACTAAATGTTCATATGGTCATGTTGCTGTTGGGAAACATGGCCCGGGCAAGCAGTGTTTTATAAAAAAATTTATTTGTATTTTTATTTAAAATTATTTTTATTTTTAAATTGTTTTCATTTGTTATGTAAAAAATAGATTTTAAAAATTAATAAAAATATTATTTTAATATATTTTTTAATAAAATATTTTTAAAAATGAATATCATGTGTCATCTTGATCATAAATAATATAAAGAATATTAAAAAAAAATTAATTTGTTGAGTGGTATTTGACCTTGCGTTTCAACTGAAATTTTAAAAAAAATTGAATTTTTATTTTATATTATATATATTTTAATCATTTTGATATGTTAATTTGAAAAATAAATTTTAAAAAATAAAAATATATAGTTATATTATTTTAATATATTTTAAAATAAAAAATATTATTTTAAACAACCTCTGCATTAAAAACTCTTAAAAAAAAAAGCCTTATCAGATATGTAGGGCCCGGATCTCAGAGAAAAATGAAAAGGCAGCAACAGAAACATCACAGGACATTTTCCGGTGCTAATTGACCACCATGCCATTGGATCTAGATTTAACAGTTTTTTTTTGTTTTTTTTTTTTATAAACTCAATGATTAAATGGAGCTTGACCGATAGCGGTATTTTAAACTTCACCCGCGCTAGCGATGTTATCGTGTCACTGTATAGTGCTCGGTATGTGGAGCACCGAAACCAGGAGGAGGCGGCTCTTTGGATGTCATTGTTTTCCCCGTGCGGACAACCTGACCACGACAAGGTGCCAACCACCCTTGGAGCTATGTATGCACGACAATTCATGGCCACCGTATCATTTGATTGGTCTTGGATATTATCATTAGTTGAAGGATCCTTTTGTTTGATATTAGGCAGCTTACTTTTGAAAATGATGTTTTGAAAAATATTTTTTTAGAAATTACAAAGTGAATTATTTTTAAATATTTAATAATTTTATTAAAATAAAAAAATAGAATATAATTATGCTATAAAAAAAAGTCAAAAGATAACTTATTAACAATGTTTTTAACATTTATTAAAATAATACAAACTAGATATAAAAAATGAAAAGGCCGAGGAGGGTAAAAATAAAAAATATATTTTTATAAATTATTTCAAGTAAAATAAATAATATTTAAAATAAATAATAAAAATTAATTAAAAAAAATAATAAATTAAATAAATAACATTCTGAGGAATCAAATTGATATAAAAATCAAAAGATAAAATAAAAAAAAATATAGCAATCAAAATAATAAAGATCAAATTTGATATAAGTAATAAATAATATGATATTTTTTATTTTTTTACAGCTTTTAAAAAGTATATTTCATCTAAGATAAAAAAATATTTTTTATCTAAAAACCAAGTCAATTTATTTTTACAAGAAAGTATTTGTCTTCAATAATTTTTCAATAATTTTTTTCTAATAGCAAGCACATATAAAAAAATTGAAAAGTGTTTTTTTAAAAATTATTTTTCATTAAACAAACAAAGCCTGAAATTATGACAGTGGTTGCTATTATCATGATTAATTCTTTACCTTTAATTTTGCTATGTATTCTCCAAGATTGTATTTTCAGTCCAGTCTATTTTTTTTTACATTTTATTTAAATTTTATTATAATGATAATTTTAAAAAAAAAAGAAAAAAAAAAGAATTCATGAAGTGAGATAAGAAGAGAGATAAACAGGGGACTAAGGTGATTAGAGACTGAAGACAGTAACATGGGATTATGCAAAAGAGGAAAGGGAAAATAAATAGGATGAAGCATAATTGAAAAAATAAATTGATAAGGGAAAGGAAGAAAGAGTTGATGGAGTGAATTAAGAAGAGAGATAAACAAGGGACTAAAGACAATAACGAGGGATTGTGTAAAGGGAAAAAAGAAGAAAAAAAAGAGGATAAAACATGATTAAAAAAAATAATGAAATTAACTCTAAGCATTGATAGTTGAAAAAATAATTAATTATAAATCCAAAATTAATGAAAGTATTCACGGAGTGAAATCAAACGAAACCGGTGAACATGGATTTAATCTTGTTAAACCATATTAGATCAATAATATTCTTATAGTTCCGTCATATTAGATCAATAATACAGCCCTTGCCTTTAAAAAATAAAAAAAAAATCAAATCATTTCTGTGCAACCTTTTATAGTATTTTTCAATTTAGAATAATATAATTTTTATACCGTGTATCTAAAAGGCAAGAAAACCACACCCCTCATAGTTAAATAATATCCAATGGACCATTTGAAAAGGATGACTCTAACCCTAACACAGTGACAATTGATTTTTCCTTGAGAGGGAAAGATACTGGTTACATCGTTGCAGTGGGGGTAGTGAAATCTTCACGAGTTGCAAGTTTTTTTTTTTTTTTGTAATTAAATGCTCGTGGAGGCATGGATCCATGTTTTTTAAAATTGTATCCTTGTTTTTTAACATACACATTATTTAGTACTTTAGTTTTAAAAATTGTCAATTGGTCCTTGTATTTTTATACTTCGTTAAAGAACTTGGTCCCTTCGTTAGTTTTCTGTTAATTTGGTGTTGACAAGTCACGAATTTATTTCTAAAACGACATCTCGCCAAATTCTTAAATATAACTTATTATAAATAAATCACAAACAAACACCATATTAACATCAACCAGAAAACAAATGCTAGCTCCAATCAAATCAAACTAAAATTACGTGTGGTTTTTTTATTATTAATGTAGATACTCAAGACAATCTATATATATCCTAATTAATTCTATAAAATTAAAAATTATATAAATCTTTAGTAAGTATAATATCTATTTGACTGGGTTGAAATACAAGAAAGAAACCCAAAGCAAGAACTGTGAACAACTTGACAACTCTACAGGGAGCTTTGCAAATTTGGAATCGTCTTTTATTTAAAATTGTCATTTGTCTATGTACCAGTAAGTAAAATTTTATGGTGGCTGTGAGCGTATATTTCAGAGAAGAAGAAAAAGGAAGAAAGAGACCAAGGAATGAAGGCAGCTTGGGGATGTAAGAAAATAACAAAGTTGAAATTCGAGGGACAAACTAATAATTATTGTATCTAGAGGGATTTAATTATATATTTCTTTAAATTACAATGACTGGATGCATAATTTAAACTTTAGAATTATTTCCATGAAAAGGGACACACGTATAGAAATTTTCTAAGTTATAAATCATTTAATAAAAATGAATATATTCATTAAAATATGTTTAAATACTATAGTTTTTAAATTAAAAAATTATAGAGCTTCACTTCATCTAATATTGAAAGTCAACACCTAAAAAAAAAGAAACTTAGATCCATAAAACTCATATATAACCCAACTGAAATAAAAAAAATATTAAATACAATTTCCATTAAAAAACTAAATAAATAAAGTTGTTAAAAGGTGGAATTTAAAAAAATCCTTAAAAAACGCAAAATACCATTTCAATATTTTACTAATTATACTGCACGTATGTATAGATTATAAGTTTTTAAATTTGATAGGAGACACGATTGCTACCGCTATATAATATTTCCACCACTGGTTGTACCACAGGAATGGTGGCAGCAGCCGTGATACATGAAAACCATGGTCAAAACCGAGGGCCGACATGTAGTGTGCTACTGCACTTGCATTTTTAAATCAA